CATTTGGCCAGCTTCTCTACGATCCAGAGTTCACAAAGATACAATTGAAACTATGCTCGATGCGGCAAAGACCACTATAGCATCCTTATGGAAAGACCACAAAGCCCCAAATCTAGATATATGGTATAAAAAACTCTGGAATCATTACTTAATGGAAGCTGTTACAAGCAAATTGAATGCCTCTTCTCCAAACCCTCTACGGGATACGTTTGCTGACAAATGGTTCTCTGTGATGGACTTTCTGTCTAAGCAACAATTTCTTTCCCCTGAGTGGTCCCAATATCATAAATGGATTTGAGCTTTCTCTTGTACTTCTTTCTTATTGATCTATTCAGAATAACTCACACTTTGCTACTTTAATATGGGGTCTTCCTCACCCTTTTCTTGTTTTTTTAGTTCCTTTTTTATTATTATTATTTTTATTATTATTATTATCTTACCTTCACACTCTTCGCTCACTTTCAAGAAACTGCAAGACAAAGATACCAAGTTTAAATTTCGACTTAGTTTAAAATAACATGCTAGATAACTTGAAAGAAGCAAGGGTAGTATTGGGAAATGTGCACTATAAGGTTATTGGATATTTACGCATTTATGCAATGGTTCTATATTGTGAGTTAATTTGTTACCATTTTGGAAATTGTTGTTGAACTATAGTTCCCATTTTGATATATTTGTATTAATTTTTGCAAAATAAAAATCTTATTTATTTAAAAAAAACAAAAACAAAAAAACCTCTACCACCTGCCCTTCCCCCCGAGGGGATTACAGGCATCCGCTCTGACTCTGATCAGGAAAGGATCCTTTATACTGGTTGGGATTTGGGGCTTTGATTTTGACCACGGTTCCATCCTTCCAGATGAATTTTTCCTCTTCTTTGGATTTCTTTCCTTCCGGGTATAACACTGTTCACTTTCTGTCTCTCTGCCAAAGAAGCCAGGAATGTAAGAGAGACAACACTGGAGAGCAAAGAAGGCCTCGTGTCCGAAGAATGGCTGGAGAGTTTCTCAGGAAGATTTCAAGAGACTCTTTCTTTCCCACCTGAGCTGCCTGCTGGTGAGTTTCCTTCGTGGTTAGGTCAAGGGAATGGGCCAGAGACAGCAGGGGGACCTTTCCTCTTCCCTTCTGGGGAACTCTTGCTTTGGTGGAATGATCAAGCCGGCTAGGTTAGGAGGGAGGGAGGCCTTCTGGGCCTGGGATGTGGAGATTCCGGAGCTCCTTCTGGAGCTGAGCTCAGCTGTGGCTGTTGAGGGGCTGCGCTTTCCTTAAATACCGGATATTCCGGGGGGGGGGGGGTTACCTAGAACAGCCCTGCTGGACGAGGCCAAAAGCACATCAGTCCTTTCCTACTGTCTCCTGGATGCCTTCGTTCCTTATGTGGAGATGGGTTTGAGTGCTTTCTTTGGAGCTGTTCTACCTTGCAGGGGTGGCTTGCAGCAGATAGTCCCACCAGTTAACACTCCATCCCAAGGGGAACCAGTTTCAGCCAAACCACACAGCACTCTCTGTTGTGAGGGGGATGGGCCCTTACCCCAATGGGGTGGAATCCTTTGCTGTTGAAGAGATTTGCACTGACCCCGTCAATCCAGTAAACACAGAGTCAAGTTCTCAGCTGAAGCACAGGTGGTTGAGGCACAACAGGATAGGGAAAGCCCTGCAGCCCCCAGTTCCTTCCCAAAGGCTAAGTCCCTTCCTCCCCCTTGAGGCAGGGAAGCGTCTGCCGCAGAAAAACAGATACACACGGACAGAGAAAGCCAGGTATACCTGTCCGATCAGCGTGCCCCGATGCCCAAGTTTCTCTGAGGCCGGCCAGCACAGTCTCCCCCCATCCCCAGGGAAGAGGGTTGAGAATGACGACCACCCTGTGCTGTTCTAAGGCGCTGTCAGACTAACTTCCCCCACACTTCCCTTCTGTCTCCCTGGTCACACTGATCCCAGACATCTCTGCACGTCCGCTGCATGTTGCCAGGGTTTGGGGAGGATGGAACAGAAACTACTCTTCTGGGGCTGTAACTGGACTTTTTGGCACTTTGTGTTCCTCTAAAGCAGACTTCTAGAGGGCCTTCCTCTACTGTGACATTTTGTAACCACAAAATGACCTTGAGTCCCATTAAGCCAGTCTTCTGGCTATCTCTTGCTGACCATAAGATAGAATTCTTTCCAGAGAGACAGGCTGACGCTGCGTTTCTAGGAAAGGCAGAAATGCCTGGACGATTGAGACATGGCTGCTCATTAGACAATAGCCAGAATGGCTCAGAGATAGCAAGAGAATGGCTCTGAGTGTAAGTGGCCCTACACTGCAGGGTTCCTTTTCTCACTGGCCATTACCTGCCCCCTCCCCAAGAAATGGCACCTCTTCAAATCCTTTTGAACTGTAGGGTTCACTTTGTGAGCTCCTGGGTTCTCAGTGCCCCATAGCAAACTTGTATTTTTGGGAGGCTGAAAACCAGCTCCTCCTTGGCTCTCATGACATCTAGAAGGACACTCTCTGTGTAGTTGCAGGACCGGATCTTTTGATAACTTCTTGTATTTAATCGTCAAGTGCAGAGAATCAAAAGAGCTGCACAGCTTGTCAACTGGGACTAGTGGGGGAACAAATCTTTGCCACTTTCCCCCTTGAAGTACATACAGAGGGGGGTGGGGAGAGACAGGCAGAATATGAACTCAGCTCTACGGGAAGGCCTGGCAGGGATAAGGTGTGACCAACAGCTGAGTTTCGGAGGAAAGAAGATCTGACCAAGGAATTGCACACCCATTCATGAGTAGGGCCTGACTGTTGCCTTGGCTGCTTGCTTGGGTGCTGATGGAAAACTTTTCCTTTATTCCAGCAGCAGATGTAGAGGATATATCAGGGGAATTCCAGGGATTCACTTTAGAAAATGCCAAGAATGAAGATGCCGAAGGAAACTTCGGAGATGGAGATGGACCACAGAGGCAGATGGAAAGCCATGCAGGTAAGAGGAGAGATAATCCCCTTCCTTGCCAAGGAGTGGGTTTCCATGAAATCCCAGTCCAAGAAGAAAGGTCAATCAAAAAAGAGGGGGGGGGGAGCCTGTGTGCGGACCAGAAAACCCACTCCAAGAAAAAAAGGAAATGAAAGTGTGGCCTTCGCAAAGACTTTCAGTCAGAGAATGAACATCATTTCACAGACCCCCATTCCCTTATGAGAGAAGCCATATCATTGCTTGGAGTGCAGAAAGAGCTTCAGTTGGAAAACAGTCCTTACTTCATGTGGCGGAACAGTCCTATTCTGACTTGCTGGTCCTGTCCCACTCTGCCTTCTAAGGTTTTCCCAACATCTGGAGGGACTGTTTCTTTCTCTGAAGTCAACCACCATCACCTCCTGACCTTTGTAGGAATTGCCCACTGAGAGGGTCAGGACTCCCAGCTTCCATTTCTAGTTCTGAGGCCTTGCCTTTGCGTCTCCCACTACCCAGCACCTGGTCACCACAGGGACAGCTTGCTTCTTTGTGCACACTTTGGGCTCCTTTTCAAATAGCATGTCCAAGACAGTGGAGGTCTATGCGGTACAGTGAACCACTACCAGGATCAAAAGTTATACAGTATTTCTTAACAAGACAATGTTTATAAGGATACTCTTAGCACAGCACCAGATCGAGCAAGATATTCAAAAGAAATGGATAAAATGCAATTCCTCTTCAACTCTACATGCCCTATCAGTTGTTAAATATAAGGCTTTAGCTTAGAAAGTTACAGATTTTTACAGGAATTCCATTAACTTCAGGCCTTATCCCCAAGTGTAGGCCAGCACCTAGCAATGGCTGCCTCCTCCAGGCCTTAGTCAAGAGCTCTTTCTTCCTCGATGGAATGAGCACAAAAGAGCCCCTCCTCCTTTCTCCCAGGAGTCTTATCGTCTCTCTTTCCCCTCCAAATGATTAGGTCAGGCTGGGTCAAAGAAGCTTTTCCTGAAGCCTCCAGGACTTTCTTCCTGAATCCTTTCTAGTCTTTATTCCTCCAGATCTGTGTTCCCTGCTTGGGGGTGGGGGGAAACGTAAGAACATAAGAGATGCCAATGTTGGATCAGGCCAAAGGCCCATCCAGTCCAACACTCTGTATCATACAGTGGCCAGAAATACCAGTGCCATCAGGAGGTCCACCAGTGGGGCCAGGACATTAGAAGCCCTCCCACTGTTGACCCCCCCAAGCACCAAGATGACAGAGCATCACTTGCCCCAGAGTCCCTATCTATACCTTGTGGCTAATAGCCACTGATGGACCACTGCTCCATATGCTTATCTAATTCCCTTTTGAAGCCATCCATGCTTGTAGCCACCACCACTTCCTGTGGCAGTGAATTCCAAGTGTTAATCACTCTTTGGGTGAAGAAGTACTTCCTCTTATCCGTTCTAACGGACTATCCCATTGTCTTGCCTGCTCTCTGCCTAGAGGGGGAAAACGTTTAAACTCAGAATGAAGGTTTTTGCTCAGTTGAAACCTCCATCCCAAAATGCATTTTTTCACACTTCACATCTAAGAAGTCACACAGGTGGAGATCCATATAAATGGTCAGAGCCCCGAACAAGCATCTCTAATGCAGGCGGTTTCATGTACTTTGAAAGTGTATATTATTGCCAGGGGTCATTTCCTGCGGGAGCGCACAGGAGCAGAGCTCCGGCAGTAAGGAGCCCAGGCGGCGGGCACATGCAACAAGCCCTGCCCCCTGCTCCCAGCAGCCCTCAGTTGGGCCACGAGGAGCAAGAAGCAGCCAAGTAAGTTGCAGAGCCCCCCCCCGGCCTGCCTTCAGGTACAAGCTCTCCCTCCTTTGTGAGGGCAGATCTGCGCGTTCTCCCCCCCCC